AAATTTTGTATAATAGCATGCACAAGCCACTGAATCACTGTTTTGGTAGTTTCAGATTCCCTCCTCCCTGCACCTTCACCCCCTTGACATGAAAATAGTAAAGGAAACCGGGTGAGGGCAATAACTTGTCTATCCTACTGTTTCATTCATGACATGGCACAGCCACTTATTTAGTTCTTATCTGCATGAAAATCCAGACTGATAAACAACTTCAACACCTTTTGACATTTCAGTGCAGGGCTAATAATTAGCATGGGTAGTCTGGTTACCATCACATGCACATCACAGACTTGAGACTGTTCATAATTTACAGAATATGGAGACCTTACTTTTTCACACTGCTGACGGGGGAACCCAACAACTTTATCTAGCAAACTTCAAACAGCTAGGATGCCTGCTAACGTAAACTTAACTCTGGAAGTTAAGACTGTGCTTTGTTTTTGTTTGCTTTATTTTATTGGCAACGTACTAAAGCAAAAGTAACTCATCAAAAATTCTTTGCTCATTGCTTTTCAATTACAGCCTATTTCATGTTTTGGAAGAATTGATGACTGGACTGTATTATAGCAATACTGAAGCACTACAGGACCTCACTTCAGTATATGGAATTAAATCAAACGTGCAGAGAACCACCAGCAGAAGTCATACTAACATAGCTTGAACAGATTATTTTCCAAAACTTCAGGGATACTTTTAAACAGCTGTAAATGGGGAAAGTTTTTCCAGTATTGGATGTTCTTTTCTTTTTTCCTCTCCTTTTTTTTTTTTTTTTTTTTAAATGTTAGTCCACTGGATTTCAAGTGGAAGAGTCACAATAACGATACTACTTCCAATGGAAAATTATCCTGCTAACCTGGAGTAGTCACCTCTGCTGATTTTAATGTTAAATCCTTTCACTAGCAGGAACAATTAAGAAATGGACATCTGTGACAAGGGATACTATGCACAGAATCCAACACTATGAGAGAATTATATGACCGTTTCTGTCCAGTTTTAGCTATTACATTTGGGTTTAAACAGCAGTTGACTTCAAATAGGGCAAAAAGTTGCATTTCCTTCATGCTCATATGCCCAGTATGGACGTGATCCGCTTTACTCTCTTTTATCTCCTCAAGAATGAAATTAAGAGTCAGGTCCCTCTCATCCCTCCTCCATCACTGCACACTCAGGCTGTGACACCAGGTAAAAAGGAAGTGCTTCTGACTGTGCTACTGAAACAATAGTGGTACTTCTACACTGCCAAATGAAGGTGCAGGGGTTTTCAGTGGGTTTAATGTTCCTAGCCTGAAGACAGGACTTTGTCCTGGCAGCAGTGCAGTGGAGCTTCCATAGTCTGGTGTCCAGTTTTCAATTCCCTTTGCTCAGCCAAATCATTGCTTCATAGAAGCTTTATCTCTCATGCTGCAATATAACTTGCTCAGAGTCCCCTTTCCCCTAGTTTATTCATTTTCTTTCAAAGGTCGTCTTCTGTCCCTGCTACCTTGGCTGTCAGGACAGCTCTGATTATCATTTAGCAATGTCAATTCCAAAAGAGACTTTCCTTAAACTGGGTTTAGTTACAATAGGAAAAATAGGCAAAACTGTTTGGTAGCCCAAGTGCAGTTGCCCATGAACAGCTGTCCATATGAGAGAAGCCAACATCCCACTGACACTAATTGATCCACTTGTTAACAGCCTCAGAAGATGAGTCCAGCACTGATTAAGCATAAAGGCTGAAGAGAAGTATCTCTAGAAGTGACCCTCTAGGCCAGATTTGAGAGCTATTAGAAAAAAAAAGAGAGGGAAGCAAACTCATTCTTCAGAGAAGATTTAGAAAAAAGAAATCCATATTGCCAGTAGCCTAGGACCTTTTCACATTTGGTTGGGGGAAGAGGGGGACATTATTGTCAATAGATGTCTTTTAACTCTATCTTTTAACTATTGCAAACAAACTTGGTACTGGGATACGATCAAAAAGAATAAGTACTTTTTTTAGCTTAGCTGCATTTGTTGTTCATCATTCCATGAGTTGTGTAAACAAACAGCATGGTTGCCAGCCTCCTGTTTCATTTCATTTCCTTCAACTAAGGACGTTCATTGAAAGGCAGGAGTTTCCAAATGTAAGCCACATCTGTGGATATTTTGAAGTTATTTCAGAAAAATACTTATTAGTATCATTGTTGACAACAGTAACGTATTTGGAATAAGAGATCTAAGCAACTTACCTTCTGTCTTGGGCATTGGGTCACCTGTTTAACAATCAGAACAGCTAAGTGTTCTCTTTTCTTTGCTAGACCCATTCAGTTGCTATATGCTCATAAATGAATCACAGTAGGCTGGGAAGTCTAAGATTAACAATATTCACAAGTAAAAAATGGAATCCATTTAAGATATATGATCACTCTTCTAAGAGGTCTATGAATAGTTCTTCTCATTTAGGGTTCTTCTTGAATTTCATCCTCCTGAAGTATATTTCATGAGGAGTACTTCAGCATGAGATGACTTCTGCGGAACAGCTACTGTAGAGGAAGTAGCTGTGAAAGCATCCTCTCGTTTGCTCTTGTGAGTCAATCCTGAGGCAAGAAAGGTAGTCAATTCAGTCTGTGCAGTCTTTAACCTCTTTCAACAAGACTTCAGAAAAGCAGAAGCAGTAAAAAGACTTGGTCTCTGAGAGCTATCCTGCATGATACCAACTGGCATCACCTATTTTCTTTCTTCTTGATACATAGTATTATAACACTGAATTGGACTAGACTGACTGGAAATTCTGGAAAGTTCTTTTTTTTATTTTTTTCCCTTAATTTTGAACTGCTGAGATATCATTTGTGGATGTCAACGTGTAGTTTCTTTTTTGGCGGGGAGTGGGAGATGTCTTCAAAATTTACTTCTGAAATAAAAATAAACCAAAGAACCCCAGGAAGGCCAAACAAATGGACTGCCCACACACAGCCTATCAATAACCACTTCAAGCAGCACAGGTCATTCCAGCTTCAAGTAACTAGTGGAGCCCCAACCATTACCTTAAGGGTATACCAGGCACTAACTGAACTTAACTCAGAAACTTGCTTATCCAGGCAATCCTCTATATTTCCAATCCCATGCCTAAAAGATTTACTTCTGATCTCCTATAAATCTTAATAGCAAGGTGCCATTCCCGCATAAGCGGGATGTTATCACTGGCAGTTAAAATAGCAGTTTTAAACCAAAGTTCTGGAAAATAGGTAATCCTGCCCAACACCTTTGGGCAGAATTAAATGTTGGCATAATAGAGTTGCTATTATGCTATCCGTGCTTTCTTTTCTTCATTAAAAATACTTTTAGAGCTAAAGCAATAGCAATACTAGCTCCCAGTGGTTTTTGAAAGGAAGACTTATCACTCATTTATTAAAGCCTTTGATTGCATCATCATATTTCTAATAGTACCCTGGTCTTTATTTTTAAGATTATCCCATCTCTAAAAAAAAGAAACTGAAGAGTTTGGCACATCATTCCCAAAAGCTGTCTCTGAAAGGGCATTTGCCAGATCATTCACATAACTAGGAGTTTCTTACCTGTGAGTTAGACACTGGAACTCTTAAGTCACTCACATATGTTACCCAGCTGGTAATCAGAGTAATGAAGCTATACAAGACAATAGCTGCCTCTTTCGCAAAGGACCACACTGTAACCTTACTGTTTACATACCCTTAAACTGGAAACATTTAGCAAACAAATAACAAGAGAAGCCTTACTTTCCAACACTTCCAACAGATACATTTTAAAAAACATACTGAGTGGAGAGGTTACCTTTTAAAAACGCATAACAGATTTTCAGTTTAGTTCCCATTCAACTATATGCATTTCACAGAGAGAAAAGAAACATAAACTTACATATTAACTAAAACTTCCCATTAAGCCAATTTCTTAGTTTTACTACTAGCTCCCCCATCCTGCTAGTAAGGCAAGATAAGGAAATCCTGAATTCATTGCAGCTGGCCCTATGAGCCTTGCAATTAGGACCTACAGTGTGGTCTTCCTGCTCCGCGAGAGGATTAACCCTTTCACTGCCAACTTCTGTCCTGCCCTACCAATGGGCGGTATTGTTTGTGGTGACTGAAAAGTGTTAACGTTCTTTCTAAAGGAACAGGTTGGCTTTGCACACTGTGAACGTGGAGTCTTTCCTTTGGGTGAAATTCCTCACAGGAGCGGTCTCCCTGACATCTCACAGATGTTTACCAATAAGCTAAAGTTCAGAATGAGTCAGAACGCAGTTCCCTTTTCCTATTTTCCTTTCTACTGTCATCTCCATAAGACCATCGACATTCTTCCTGTCACTCTGATCACTACATAGACATCCCTTTTGAGTGTGAAGCTAATTCAGAGTTTTTGTTCAAAACCCTCCTTAAAACTCCTGTTAACAGCTGTGCAAAAACTCAGCAAAGGTTAAATTGCTGATTTGCTCAAACAAGTGCCCCCGCCGTAGAATGCTGTTTTTGTGTATCTTGGCAATATTCATCCCTTGTCTTCTACAAGGCATGAAAAGATGAAAAGTGACTAAATCACCGTTTGCTTTCACCAGATTCATTGCATTTTTCTGGGCTTTTGCTAGTTGATTCCAGGGGCCAGGAAGAATTTTACCACTACCACTTTTATTATATAATTCGGTTTTTGGAACAGCTTTTTTTCCTCACCTCTAAAGAATTGGAGATTTCCACAGCTAGAGACAGGATGTAACACAACTTGCACTGGTGCTCTTAATAGTATCTTTCAAGTGCCAGATTGATGTGTTTTTCACATTGACTCAGAGTTAAACTGATTTAAGATCATTTTCCAGGTCAGACTGGCAGGACCTGCTGAAGGAGTTTGCCTGACTCTATGCTGGGAGGGATGGGCTACATCTTGGAATTGTCTGGGAATTTTCCTTAATAAATTCATTGTTCTTTGAAGCATCCATGTTAACGGATGTGTAACATTCTGCTTTCTTCTTCTGGCATGTTATATTTGGAGCTCTTCCTGTTTTAACGTTGGACCTGAAGATGATTATGGGGAAGTGTTTCATGGTGGTGTGTGTATACTGGAAGTTTTGGTGCGTCCAACATGGACCATGTGTGCGTCCATGGCACACATACCTACCCTGCCAGCTGAACCAGGTGACCACTTTCAGACCCATGTCTTACGCTTAGGCCATAAGACCTTTGCTGGCAGCCAAGACTATGGTTTTGTGTTAGCACAGCATATAGTCTGATGGGATCCTGCTTGTGGTAAGACTTTTGGTTGCCATGATTTAAACAAACAGAAGTTTGTGAAGAAGGTTCGCTGACAGAGTGGCCAAACTGTGTTCTTTACAACCCTTAAACATTTCCCTATTGATCTGGAACATGCCAAGGAGGGTTGGTGTGGGAGTGAATTATGTAATATCCAGTCATGGTGCTGAATTGCTCACTTGTAAGGAGGTAATAGCTAAATGTAAAGGATATAAAGAAGAAAATAGTCACCACTGCAAACCGTAAGTCCAATATAAAGCCCACAGCAGACAACAGACAGATACTTGTTTTGTTTTGGTTTGATTTTTTCCTCTGACTGGTCGCTGGGTTGGGCCTGAGTGCAGAAATGTCTTGCAGGCTGGAGAGGGGGGGAGTTGCATATTCTCCATCCCCAGGGAATGTTGTAGATTTCTGCAAAATGTAAAGAATTTAGATTTTCACATGTTTGGTAAAAATGGGATAATAATAGGGAATTTGCAATGTTACTGAAGCGTTTAATGCATGCAAAGTACTTTAAGAATCTCCTCAAAACAGGCTCTCTTAAAATGCAAAATTTTGTATTATTCCAAGTATATGTAAGAGAAAGTGGCTCACAGGGAGAGAAGAACTTCTTGAAGATACTACTTTGGCATCCATAGCGCTTCTCCTTCCTTTTACCAATCTGGTGCCAAGAATTTTTCATTCCAATAGCATCCAATAAATCCTAGAAAATAAATTCCAGTGACTCTTGGAGGAATCTTTAGTGACTTGATGGCTAAAGCAGTTAAAACCTTTTAGTCAGTTTTTGCAATAGCTTTTACATTTAAAAGGTAGAGGCTTAACACCTGAAACAAAGGGACTGGTTCTCCTCTCAGCAGCTGTAACGTCCTGAACCAGCACAGATCTGTATCTACACTATGCTGGAGTATAATGATGGGAATTTCAGTGCCAGAACACGTGTGAAGTTCCGACTAAGATCACACACACTCTGCTCAGCTTCTTGTAAATAGAGAACATGGTCTATTCTGTTTCCCAAAGGGGATGGAGAGAATTATAGTGACTTTTCGGGGTCAAACAGCGGGTCAATGGGAAAGTCAGAGTACGGTTTGGGGCTCCTGACTACCGCTCTGTGGCCCTTAGAATTGATCCTGCTGTCATGCACCAGCTTCAGCTTTGTAAGAGGGATCAGTGGAGCTCAGCAGGGTGTGTTTAACTGTTGTGTGGATAAGTGAAGAAGATTATCTGTATGGCAGTGGCCACTTAAGACTAAATTTTTTTTAAAGTTTATGCCATCCACAGCAGGCTAAGAGTCAACAATAGTTAGGAAACACCCAGGCAGTTGTGTGTAGGGCTTTCATATGATACTTTCTGTACGTGACTGTTACCCAAAAACCACATTCACTGTACAGACATCCTGCATAATTGAGGTCTCTGAGGTAAACATAATTCCATTTCAGATTTATTTCACAAACTCTCTAAATCAATTTCTATCTATATCTTCAGTATATCTATATAACTTATATAAAAACCCCAATGCAATATATGGACTTAATAGCATTGAAAAACAAGGTCTCCATTTAGGCACAGATTAGACCTCTTCTAACCTCACTTTCCTGCAAATGAGCAGTAACTCTCTGATGCTGGTGGAATTACATGAGTATAGCATTATTATCAGAGATATATCAGACCTAAGATAGAAACAGTTCCCTGTGAAATGTGTCCCATCATTTGAGGGTGAAAAGAACTGTTTATGATTGGATCAGTTTCTACAGCAATTCATTAGCATGTTAAAAAAAATAAAGAAAAGAGAAAGCTGATAAGATACTATTTACTTTTTAAAATTCTATTGCACAGTTTCTGTTGAGCCTGAAGACATTAAAGAGAATGACTACTTGTTATCTCCATTAAGATAATTAGCTATGTAGGTGGTTATGGGTTTTCTGCTATTCTAAAACTTCAGAATGGCAAATTAGGCGCTCCGGATTTTGATTTGCAGTTTGAGAGAGTGAAGATCTTATAGAGATGAGGCACAAAAACTAGGTATTTACCATTTGTCAGGAAATGTTTAAATCACAGCAAGTTTCCCCCAGGAAGGTGTAGATCTAGATGTTTCCTCATACTGTTTGAACTCTGTGTTGACTGTCTCTCTGATCAGATTGGAAATTAAAAATTACTTTACATTTTCCTTGGTGTTCTTTTCCTTTCCCTGACTTCAGTATTGTTCTTGTAAATAGCTTTGGACACAAAAACGTTCCTTTTTGTGGCTTGGTCTTTCAGCTTTTTGCCTGCACGTTCTAACCACACCATGACTGTGGCATGATCAAACAGAAGAAAGCAATCGTTGCTTAGTGGAAGGCTGGGCTAAGTGATCTATGGCAAGCTCAGTAGTTACCCCAGCAATGGGATGACCAGCTCCTTTATACTGCCTTCATGAAGCCTCTAAATGAATGACTTGTATATTGCTCTCCCAAAATATGCAGCCATGTCCTTAATGAAAGGATTCCTAAGTTATTTATTTCTGCTATTTTTATCCTTTCTGTGCTCAGATCAGTCTCAGAACAATCTTTTTGCAGTACTATGTTTCATTTAACTTTTTTTCTTTTCTTTTGCAGGCTCTGAGCAGCAGTCTGTATAAGAGTGCATCTCCTTATGGCTCTCTTAATAACATAGTGGATGGGTTAAGCTCCCTCACTGAGCATTTTTCTGACCTATCCCTTTCTTCAGAAGCCAGAAAACCCAGCAAGAGGCCACCTCCTAATTACCTGTGCCATCTCTGCTTTAACAAGGGACACTACATCAAAGACTGCCCACAGGTAAGGAACATACAGTATTCTGGAAAAATCTTCATGATGATCTTCACCATTCCTTGATTTAATAAAATAAAATTTGGCTCAAATAGTTCCTTAGAGTAGCACTGAAGAAATATCTTGACAAAGTGCCAAGCTAGCCATGCATTCTTTTAATACATTCTTTATCACAATGCCGAAGGAAAAAATCTGCTATTTCATTCACCTAGCAAGCATTACAGAAAATACTCATCCAGGCACAACAATAAGTAAATTTTGGAAACTAAAAATGGCTACTATGTAATTTTCCATCACAGAGATTGTGTTTACACAATACATTCTGAAGCAGCACACTGTATAGTGTGTATGGTTTAGCAGTGGCACTTAATAAAAAATATAGCAAGTAACATATGCTAAAGGAGAATAAATTGCCACACTGGATGAGAGCTTTGAATTAGTGTTGCAATAAGACAAGCTCCAAGAATACATGATGCAAAATGTCCATTGTCTCGTAGAAGAGGTTTGCTATACTTGGCAAGATATGGTCATCTTGGCCTCCTAGAATTTTTTTGTAGTGGCAAAGCTGGCAATCTTTGTTTTCTTAGAAAAAAGGTATAAAACAGTGTGCACTAAAACCACTTACCAATTCACAATTTTTTTTCTGAGGATCCAAGCCGCAGTATGTGAGGTTTCTCGGTCCTCTCAAGTTTCATCAGGATGCAGTTGTGCTGCTGGCTTAAACTTTCACAGCTCCAACCATATTCTATGTAGAGTCCCAGGGAAAAAAAGTGTCATTAGCATTCTAGAAATACAAATGTGCACACTACTTCAGTATTGTTTTAACCTCCTACCCTCTTAATGTGTGATTTTTCAGCAAAATAAATCTGCATAGAATTAACTAGCGTTCGTGGCAGTTGAGGATATCAGACATATAAAAACCAAAATACAGGCAGCAGAAAATTTGCCAGCTGAGCAAGGTGAGCATGAAATCAAGTCTAATGTCAGATGAGCTTTAACTGAGTGCGTTCCTGCTGCTGTTAAGCATAGACTAAGCGTCTTCTTCATGGAGTTTAGCTGTATATCTTTTATTATTTTTAATGGAAGCTGTGGAACATAAGTGTATTTTGCAGACTTGAGTGCGGCACTTGAAAACAGTTTTACTTTTTATTGAGTAAAGCAGTTTTCTGTTGGAAAAAATACAAAGTTCTCCTTACCAGATGAATAAAAATTCTCTGGTTTGTATAGTTCAGTGTTTAATGTACTTTGTTAGCATGCTATAGCAAAACGTAGAAATAGGACGATGTAATAACATACATTACTTAACAAGGGCATTAGAACTACAACTACTAAATATGCGTCACAGTGAAATACAGTGCTGAAATGTGTGAGATGACAGTGCAGTGCTGTGTAAAAATCAAATGAATGCAACAGATCCCCTAATGATCAATACATACTGAGATGTAGCTTGCACAGATGGTCCCAAATGAATGCGTCAACAGTGCTGGAGCAGAAATGCATTATTTCACAAGTATAGTTTAAGGCACTGGACATTAAAGAACACTTAATGAAAATGAAAGTCATACCCACAAAAATTCAGGAAATCAAAAAAACAATAAGGCTCCCGTAGGAAGATCAGTTTACTTACACATTGCACATCCTGTGTACTTTTTACATACAAGTTATGATTTCATCAGTAATGTCTTCAAGTTCCTTGAGAACCAAGAAATGAGAAGACTATACCTACAGGGCGTACTTTATGGCTGGCTTATAAGCTGGTAACTAATCAGCAAAGAAATACAGGACTGGAAGGCAACTGCTTGTTCACTGCACCCAGTCCTCTACAATTACAGGCAGCCATATCATACAGTCCCTTTCATAAACTGATGAGTGCTAGCTGAAAAGCATTTCAGTATTTTGCCTTCACTGCTGCTGTTGTGGAAAGCTCTTTCCAGAACTTAAGTCCTCTGATAATTAGAAATCTTCTTCCAATTTTGAGGATAAATGTAACTTGTGGCTACTTTATATCCATTTGTTCTCATGCCAACATTGTCCTTCACTGAAATAGCTCATCTCCCTCCATGGTGTTTATCTCAGAATGTATTTATAGAGTGCAATCATATCCTCTCTCAGCAGTCTTTCTGTAGGGCTAATTGAGTCAGGTTTTCTTAGTTTCCTCGTGAAAGATATACTCTCAGTTTTCCTGTTCCTTCTCATGGCTGTGCTCTTGTGCTTTTCATCTTCTTGAACGTGCATGACAAGTATATATGGCATCCCAGATTAGATCTCACTTGTGGCTTTTACTGTATGCGTGGATACCTGTTTCTGTGGATCAAAGTTTATTTTCATATCAAACATGAGGAGGATGTGGTATGAAATTAATGATGCTTTAGCGGTGATTTCTAACACAAGCAAGTGGTAGCCAAGTGTTTTATTGTCCTGTTATATCTAGCCGGCATTTAAATGTTTTCTCGAATAAAGGCACACTTAAGCTTTCCTAGAAACATAAGCACTTCCCTATTTTCTCTAAAGTTAGGATCAGGTCTACAGGGGATGATGTATCTGTGTGCGTGAATATTACCTTCCTAACTTGGAAAGCATTGCACATAAGAGAGTTCCAACTGCCAGGTCAGGTCTTTGTTACAAAGACCTGTATCGTTACTGGTCCTTGTGGCAATAACTGATTTCTTAATTTGAATATTATATACACTACATAAAAGCTTAGGTTTTGATGTTTAATTCTTCTAGAGCTGTCAAAAATGAAAGCTCTTTTACAAAAATTATGTTGAAAAGAGAGATGTATTTTTAAAGTATTTAAATTTGGATAGAGAAAAGAAATAAGCTAATCTGATTTGGACAAAATGTATATCAACAAATAATACAGTATTTTTATTTTCATTTTATGTAATTACCTAATAAGAAACAGATTTAGAAATAGTGTTTTATGCCAAATTTCTGACATAGCAAAGAAATTGCATAATAACTTTGAGACTTTTCATTCGCCATTATTCTGCTCTTTATAAACACTATAAAGGTGTATATTCGTTTCCTGTTGCTGTAGGAGTTGATTGCATGCTATATTGATGAAAATATATGAATCTATTTAGATTTATACCTTAAGTGAGGATCATATTTTAGAAAGTTAAATTAAAAATAAAAAATACGAGCTTTAATATTCCAGCACCTCAAGTATCTGCAGATTGCTTGATGTTCTATCGAAAATGGTCTGTTTGGAAACTAAAAGGAGATTTTGCAAGCTTCTAATTTTTTAGAGGGTAGGAATTAATTAGTCTTTAAATAGTTTGTGTGCTCTGTAATGCTAGTCAGTGTGGTTTCTGTTTTAGAAACTACCAGAAATGATAGTAATGTTTGCATACATTTGCCGAAACCGTACCCCAGATTTCTTCATTTTGTAATTATTATGCATATAAAAACACAGTACTTTTTATCTTTAGTATCATCTTTCTAGCATATCTGCATTTTCTCTGAACTAATTTTTGAGTTTCAGTAGCTTAGACGTTATCATCATCTTTCTCTTCTCATGTCTCTAGTGTTCTTTCCCATGCAAAACTGACTTGAGTGAACTGAAGAATGATTAGAGGATTAAGGTCAAAATTAGTGCTCTTAAACTTAATACGCTGTCCGTTAAATTATCATTGGCAATGCCATCACATATACCATTTATTTCTTTTTAAATAACAAGTAAGATGAGGAATGAGAATATTTTTATTATCTCATTGTTTACTGGTGGTTAGGTGGATGACATACAACCATACACGTATAAAGATTTGCCAAAGCTTTGTGTACTTCTGTGTGTACTTTGAGGTGCTGCACCAGTCTACGTCTTACATATGCATTATAAGTATAGAATGCCCTCCTTGTGCTGGAGCAAATAATGATGTGCTCTGGTCAAGTAATAGTTATGATACATGATTCTTTATGACGTTTATTTATCTAGCAGATGTAGAAATTCATGTCTCCTTTAACTCCTTATCACTGCATCCTATATTTTTAAAACCTGCAAAATATGAACATTGGGTTCTTTTGTATTACATATGGCCCATGCAAAATTAATGTTACTGTTTTACGATGTAAAAATGTTACTGACATTACAACTTTTCCATGATGTCACCACCCAAAATGCAGACCTGGAATCCATATTATATGACACTGTCATATAGACATAATATGCACAAAGTGCCTGATATTGGGATGTGTTGTGTTAGATAAGTATATGTGGACGTCTGTGGATAAAACAGTTCTTGTTTTGAGAAGCTGGTAAGTGATTGAACCATTTGCGTGGTTCAAAATCCTCATTGGAAAAGAAATATGTGGACACAGATCCTAGACAGTATTTATTACATACATCCTTCCTCTTGTTGTTTTAGGCAGTAAAAGATTGAAGGCAAGGGCAGCAACAAAGTTTGTACTGGTAGAGTCCAAGCTCAGAGCTCCAGCAAAACATCTCCATATTCAAAATTTCCAGTCAAGCTGCGGTACCTTGTGTTTCTGCCAAGCACCAGTTCCATCTACTTGTCTCTCTGTCTTAATCTTATCCAACAGCTTTTGAGTCCTTTTATAAAAATACATGCAGGGCTAGTCACTCCAAAAATGCATGGCTCCAGCCATATTGTTCTGAATGCTGGACAAGGAGACTGCTCCTATTCCTGCATCACTGCCAAGACCTCAGAAAAAATCTTGCTGACAATTACTGTGAGTTTCTACACAGGCAAGGAACTCTCACATTATGGAGACACTGTGAAACAAAGTAACACAGTTATGCTGTCAAACCCCTGATGCACTACAACTATTTAGTGCAGCCCTCGGGAGATATAAAACTTAATGTACTTAATGTATTTCCCAATTTTACATTATACTCTTAGAGGAACATGCATATGCATGCTCATAGAAATACATACATACTACCACAGATACAAATGTAGCAGGAAATGACATTAGCCTCACTTTGTACAGTATTTTTAGAGCTGTGAATGTAATATATGGGCACGGTCCATATTACTGAGGCAAAC